GGTCCCCATCCCTGCAAAACCACAGGAAGGGAGAAAAGGAAAACCAATCCCCCCTCAGCCTGCTGCAGCCAGGAAGACCAGCAGAACTTGCTTGGCTGGTTTAAAGCCAGCAGGAAGCACTTTTTTCTTTTTTTTTAAATTCCTTCTTTCTTTCTTTTTTTATTCCTTCTTTCTTCCTTTCTTTCGTTTTTATTCCTTCTTCCTTCCTTCCTTTTTTTAAATTTCCACAAGTGAGACAATAAAACCTGGACCTGTAAAAAGACCAGAGTTAGACCCAAAGAGGCAGTGAGACAAATTTCACTTTGCCACTCCAGAGAGCTTGCACGTTAGTGTATATTTGTATTATTATTATTTTTCATTATTCTTATATCTTTTATTTTATTAGTATTTTTATTTATCTTCTTTCTGTTTAGTGTTCTTCTCTTGGTTTGTTAAATTGTATGGTTTGACTGGTTTCCCTTGTTCTCTGTTTCATAGTATATTTTTAATTTTCTGCCTTTCTCTTCACTTGTGTTCCACTAGCACACTACCTAGATCCTTTACTTCCTATTATGGTTACTCAGATCACATAGATTCTTTCATGTGACAGTTGCTCCATTACTATTGTAAATAATTGCTGTTACATACAATTGTAAATATTACATAGCACCCCTCTGGGATCTTAGCTCACTTCACTCTTTCCTGAACTTTATATTACTGTTGTGGTTAACTCTATTCTCTTGTACATTACACCTATTTTCTACGCTTTACTTTCACTTTACCACATAATCTGACCTCCCACAAGCTCACTGCTTTCTAGATCCTCCTCACAATCTTTCCCCCACCTAACAAGAGTCTTATATTTTTCTACCCTTTCTAAAAAGAGCTAATTGGGTGAAATATCACGGTTATCACTATACATATCCAAAGGATCTCCTATCTCTTCTCTATGGGTTGGTACATTAAATACCATAAAATATACTCCTACTGTCTTTAACCATTTTCCTTTCACCCTCCAACTGATCACAAAAAAAGTGTAGGTGGAAGCTGTGAATACCAGTATACCTGTTGGAAGAGGAAACCCACCAACAAAGGAACAACCAACAGATAACAATGGAAAAAGGTGAAGAAGGGAGTAGAAGCCACACTAACCTCAACCCAGGACCTATCTGTAAAAACAACTAATGATAGAGAAATTACCCAGAAAACAACTGAACAAGAGAAAGAGAGAAGCCTCAAAACTTCATACAGACAGAAGGACCAGGTTCAACGTAACCTGGCCACACCTGCAAAACATAATACAAGATGTGGTGGACAGAGTGACTCTTAGTTAAACAGCTGGAGGGAAGGAGCCACCAAATAAAGACACAACAACAATTAAAACACAAAGGCATCAAGAGAACTAACAAAAATGACAGCCCAAGACCAGGGAGCTCAGGAGATCAAGGAGACAGCACCACTGAATCTCACAGGACTTCTACCATTGAAGTTCAACCATAAACCCAGGAAGTCAGAACAGGTCAACTTAAGAATCAGAGGCTAACAAGAAGAGTCTCACAAACAATGGGAAGACAAAGAAACAATCCCCAGGTGAAAAAAAGAGGAAGCCTCAGAAAGAATGCTAAATGAAATAGAGGCAATTCAACTATCAGGTATTGAGTTCAAAGCAATGGTTATCAGGAAGCTCAATGAGCTCACAGAGAATTAGTAGGCACTACAATGGAAAACTACAATGAACTCACTAACAACTATATCAACATGAAAAAGGAAATAGAAACTATCAATAAGGGCCAAGGGAAAATGAAGAATACAATTTATGAACTGAAGAACAAAGTAGAAGGAATCAAAAAGCAGGTTAGATGAACCAGAGGATCAAATCAGCAAGCTGGAGCACAAAGTAGGAAAAAAAGACACCAAAAAAGATCAAGAAAAGGAAAAGTAGCTGAGAAAGAATGAAGAGGGGTTAAGGGAAATGCAGAACAACATGAAGCATAATAATATCCATATAATAGGGATACCAGAAGGAGAATAAGAAGAGGAATGGATAGAAAAGCTGTTTTAAAAAGTAATGATAGAAGGAAAAAAAAAAAGGTCCCACAAATCTAGGAAACACAGAGAGTCCCAATCAAGAAGAACACAAAGAGGCCCACTTCAACACAGAAAACTGAAAATGGAACTGCCTTTTGACCCGGAAATTCCACTGCTGGGATTATATCCTAAGAACCCTGAAACACCAATCCAAAAGAACTTATGCACCCCAATGCTCATAGCAGCACAATTCACAATAGCTATGTGTTGGAAGCAACCTATATGCCCATCAGTAAATGAGCTGATCAAAAAACTGTGGTACATTTACCCAGTGGAATATTATGAAGCAGAGAGAAAGAAGAAGCTCCTATCCTTTGAGACAGTGTGAATGGAACTGGAGAGTATCATGCTAAGTGAAATAAGACAGGAGGGGAGGAGCAAATACCATATGAACTCATTTTTAACTGGAATATAATCAACAACAAAAAAAGCAAATAAAATATAACCAGAGACATTGAAATTAAGAACAATCTAACAGTAACCAGAGGGGAGCAGGTAGGGGACAATGGGAGGATGGGTTTTCAGAAACTACTATAAAGGACCCATGGACAAACCAAGGGGGAGTGTGGAAGCAAGGGAGGGAGGTGGGTTTGGCTGTGGTGTGGAAGAAATGCAGATAACTGTAATTGAACAACAAATAATTTTTAAAAAGATTGTGATTACCTCATTAAAAGAATACATGTATCAATAAATAAAGAAATAATTTACACATATACACACAAAGGACACAGCGTGAACCTAACTGGTTCCTAGCTTTCACTCAGGCTTTTTTGGGCCAGTGTTTTAGACTTCGTTTGCACACATGCAGTCCTTATAAACAATCCAGACTCAAATAGAAGATCTGTATTTCATCAACCAGGGAAAAGAGGTCAAGATTAGGGATAATGATAGAGTAACCCAGTAATTAAGGAATTCTGTTTTACAACACTCCTCCTTCTTTACTGCAGTAATTGGCAAGAGTATGTCCAAGATATTTTCTGACAGTGGGTAGGTGTCTCTCCTGAACCACGGCCAACTTATAGGTTGTTTCCTGCCAAGCTCTAGCTATCAGCAGTTTGGTCTACTCTCAGAATCTTTTTAGTTGTCTGGAAAATTACCATGCCAAATGGAAAATACTAGAAACTGGTATAAAAAGCACACTGTACTAAAATATGGGAAAATATTAGTAATGGCTAAGCTGATAAAATTTGGGAAGCTAAAAATCAAAATAATTCTTATAACTCTTTTCTATCATTAAACTCATACCCTATCATACAAAGGGAAGTTACTTCAGCTAAAGTCTGATGGACAATACTTGGAATTTACTTCAATCAGCTAAACGTAGAGCAAGTAGCTCATTTATAAAATGGACCCAGTGCCTTGTAGTTTTATTGGTGCTTCCTATAGAGAACCTTAGTTCTATTGAATACAGTATATACCCCATGCTATGAAGTGCTGGTCTCTGGAAATGCAGCCACTAACTATAAACCATAATTCATGAGTTTATTTCTATTACTTGAAAACTATTGAAATACTACATTTTAGGGCCTATATGGAAATCAACATATTTTACAGAGGGACTCTAATAGTCTTACTTTAAGAGTAAGATCATTTCATAGTGGGAAAAATAATTTTATATTTTCTTCATATTTTGAGACTTGTGTTGATTTCCTAAATCTCAAGTGAACATGTGAATGTGTGAATTTTATTGATTTGTAATGAGAGTGGGGCAAGGTAGAAAGATAACATCTATTAGCATAACAAGGGGGAGGGAAATTCAAAATGTGATTAATGCAAAAGCTGAAATGAACAATATCAAAGATGATTTTGATTTCCATGTTTCTATATAATCTGGTCCTTAAATCATGGTTATTGTTTTCTTCCCTTCCACTCTCTTATTTTTTCTCTCCTCTTTAAATGTAGAATTCTTGGTTGTTAAAACTGAACTTTGAATTAGTAGGCACAGATCAGTCCAGAAAACAAAATGAGAGGATGGGTGATGGGGTTATGGTTTTGGGTAGTTTGCTGCTAAACAGAACCAAGAATGTGAAAATGACATTGACTTTCTTTGAGCCTGTCTATTTGGGAGTCATTCCCAGTTGTTTTATGCAATTACTTGAGATCTTCCAAAAGGAGAGCAATTCAAGTGTGCCATTAGTCCACTTGAACATCATAATTATTTCACTTTGAAATTTTTCAAGTATGTGATTATTACTCACAAAGAAAAGTTGACTCCCATTTTATAGTATTAGAAATAAAAGGAATTGTGTGAGAAATACTCCCTTGATATACTCATGGACAAATGAATACTATAAAATCTACAATAGTTAATATAAGGGAATTAGTTTTCTTCTTATCCATCCTTCTTAACATTAATAAAAAATGAAAGCAGTGCTGAGTGAATTTCAGGGTCCTGGCCTCTGAACTTCAACATGTCATCATGGAATCTCTTATTCTATCTATTCCTGGCTGCCTTTGTTTGGCTATAATATGTAGTCATCAGATAACCTGCAAACAGTAAGTTCTCAGGCTGGCTGGCCATAGTGATCCACTTAACATTCCATGCCCAGTCATGGCTGTTTAGATGTGCCCTTTCCCCATCCTTGTCAGTGATTGCTGTCTATTGCATATAATGATATCTGTAGCTGAAGTTACACAGTGCTCAAACAACTAGTCAAGAATCACAATTGTTTTCATATGCCCAGCCTGTGTCTAGATCATTAGAGAGTCAAATGGTAATCTTGTTCATTTTTACTGTTACTTTCTTTTTGTGGTAAATATTGTTCTCCCCTTTAACCTAACTCCATATTATTATTATGAGACAAGGTTCATATTTTCAAAAATGAGGAGAGGGAATAAGCTTCACTGAGCACTGAGAAATTACTTCCTTGCAAAATGCCCCTGAAAAAGCCTATTTTTGAAACCCAAGTACTTACAACTTGAATGATATTGACTTTGTAGAAGCTTTTCTGGTTGTGTCACTCCACTCTGAAAAGAAAGGGAACACACAGTTACTACCCATGTTTTCTAATATCAAATAATTCCTCTGAATTAAATTGATCTTCAAGAATTCACTTAGCATAATGCTCTCCAGTTTCATCCATGCTGTCACAAAGGGTAGGAGCTCCTTCTTTCTCTCTGCTGTATAGTATTCCATTCTGTAAATGTACCATAGTTTTCTGATCCACTCATTTACCGATGAGCACTTAGGTTGCTTCCAGCACTTGGCTATTGTAAATTTGTGCTACTATGAATATTGGGGTGCACTGGTCTACTATAAAGGACACATGGACAAAACCAAGGGGGAGGATTGAAGCAAGGGAGGGAGGTGGGTTTGGCTGGGGGAAAATGCAGACAACTGTAATTGAACAACAATAAAATAATTATTAAAAATCAACAACAACAACAAAGGACTCAGCCTTTCCAGTTATATTCTTTTCACAGAATCATGCCATTAACAAAAGATGAAAAAAGGAACCACTTGAATATATTACAATATGAATTTTTGTTATTGTTCTTTTATGTGTTATTGATATTAGGTAAAAAAGAGAAAAGAAAGAGAGAGGAGAGAACATGAAGTATGGACTAAGACATTTTTTTAAACACCTACTTTGTAATGTGAAACCTGGAGTCAGATGTTGAGATTCCTATAAGGAAGAACACATACAATACATTAGTAAATGAATCAAAGGAGGGAAATGCATATGTGTTATTGCTGAAGTTATAACTTGAATAATGTTTGTAAATAGGAAATCACTTTTGACAGTTCCATTAATTGAGCATCTGTCTACCCAAGCCTGCTGCAATATGACAATAATTGCCATTTTCTCAGAATTATGTCAGACTGGTATCTATTTAGAAATTTGCACAACATGAAAACAAGTGACCTCCATGTGTGAAATTCAAGTCTATAATTTCTCACTGAGCTAGGCAACCATGCCTCTAAGGAAGTGAAGGGGACTTAGTTCAAACAAACAAATAATCATGTGTTTTTCTGTTAACTGTGATATATATGCAACAGATGTATCTCATTTTCACAAGAGAAGTGTTCTTAAAACTTCATTACAAATTTGGTGAAGTATAGGAAGGAATTTGAAACATGGCAGTGGAGCACATTATTTAAAGGGATTTAAATTTGATGTGAAAGTCACCTTATGCACAATTCATTTACTCTTTTGAGAAATAAGGATTTGCACACATAGAACTTTCTAGGAGAATGGCATATCTGTATGGATCCTGACACAACTTTCAGGCAGACACACTATAGTGATATACAGAGCATGCACAGCACTGAATGGATGGAAAAGAGAATTATCAACTGCAAAGCAAATGTCCTAAAACTGGAGACAACGAATTCAAGTAAATACAAGAAATAGTTACAGCAATCAGTGCTGCAAGTAATCTACTCTTTAAACTTATTCTCACCACACTATAGAGCAAAAATAGGATCAGAGCATAATTTATATTTAAAAGAAGTGAACAAGAATAATAACACTGTGCTTTAATCAAAAGTGAACTTCTCAGTCTAGTTAGCACAATTCTGTTGCCCAAGAGACTTTTCTTCTGGTAAGATCAGCACTCCAGAAGACTACCGTAAAATGTCCGTAAGAGATGGAGAAGGCTTGTCAACTTAAGAGTTGTGTTGCTGAAAAGTTTCTTTACCTTTACTGATAAATAATTAACTTTCCAAAAAGAACTCTAACAAGCTTGGCCATTTGATTCCCTCTACTTAGTAAATTACAGATGATGAGCAAGTGGAAACACATTTAGAGGCACAGCTAGTAGGAACACTGAGACATGAAAACTGACAGGACAGGGGGCCAAAGAAAATGACACAGAAAATTCATAACTAAAGAGTACAAGAGTCTATGGCCATTTAATATAGAGACAAACATTCCTACCCACCTTAATAACTCCTGTGTGTAGAATTACAGCATAGCATAATATTACAGCATAGTACAATAACCGATGCTCATAATATCTAAGTTATCAAGAAAGACTAAAGCATGTTTAGTGTAATTTTTTTATTTTGAATAATATATTTTATTCAACCCATTAAAGACAAAATAGTATCATTTCAGCATATAATCAATATAAACTTATTAAAGTGATATTTTACATTATTTTGTTCATTTCAAATCTTTAAAATCTGATGTATATTTTGTATAAAACATGTTCAGTATGATTTTTATAAGAAGTCAGGAAAATATTAATTACCTTTCAAAATGATACCTATTACATGATTTTTATTGAAGGACAACCTTTGGTCATCCAAGAATTTTAATTATTCAAAACACCTCATTCCCCAGAGTGCCAAATAATTGATTAGTTAAACATTTATATATTTTAACTATATATCATTTTTTTCTATCTGTTATGTTTTTAAAGGGATTTCATTACAATTGCATAGGGCAAGTTTGAGCTTGTTTAACCTTTAGGAATCAAATTAAAGTTTTCAAAGTCAAGTAAACCAAGTATCTGATTAGAGAGAGAAATATGCATCCAGTGCTTTGTACTAGTCCTAGAAATCTGGACTGAATTTTTAACCTTCATCCAATTATTTTGTACTTTGAACTCAAACAATCAGTTGCACAGGGCAGCAGGGCAGTGATATATGAAACAAATTGGAGGGTTATGTTATTTACTAACTTTGAGTCATTGGTATTATTTATTCTCTCTTTTTAAAGAGTTTATTTATTTTTAGAGAGCGGAAGGGAAGGAGAAAGAGAGGGAGAGAAAGATCAATGTGCGGTTGCCTCTCGCACAACCCTCACTGGGGACCTGGCCAGCAACCTAGGCATGTGCCCTGACTGGGAATCAAACTGGCAAACCTGTGGTTCACAGACCAGCACTCAATCCACTGAGCCACACCAGCCAGGGCTGGTATTATATATTCTTGATATAGTTTTTAATGTTAATCTAGGTAAGAATTTTTAAAACCAAATTTCCATACAAATGAAACACTTTTGGATATTACCCAACTTACTTTACATACATATACAATCTCACTAGAAATAACTTGGTCAAAGAAAGCATCTTCATTGATCATGCAATACTTGTTGGTACACATAATATAAACTTTCAAAAAATGCCTGACTTGGATCTGTGCATTTTTCATAGACATGAGACATGTCTAGAGGTAATTTTAGTACAGAAATAATGGTGCAAACTTGTTTTCACAAACTCATATGAGGTTACTTTAAATAATTAATAGCCTTTATTATAATCCTATAATCAGAGGCTCTTATAAATCTCAATTCCAGAGCATGGGGCAGCAAATTTTTCCTATAAAGGATCAGATAGTAAATATATCAGGCTTCAGTGGGCATATAGTCTCTGTCATAATTATTTCACTTTACCATTGTAGTGTGAAAGCAGTCATAGATAATACATAAATGAATTAGTGTGATTACATTCCAAAGAAATAATTTATAGAAACTAAAATTTGAAATTCATATCACTCATATTTAATATCATCCATATCACTTATAATTCATATTCTTCTTTTTAAAATTCTTACTCACTTAAAATCTAAAATCCTGTATGATATAGTTTGCCAGCCTGTGTCTAAGGGATGTTTACCTCCATGAAGCTTTTACTGAACCTCCCCTGAGGACATTATTAGTTCCATCAATTCTGCTTAGCAATGTACTCCCTTCCTTGGAGATTTTTTCAATTCTCTATGATAAAATATGGCATTTTAAAGTTGAGATGTGTTGGGAACCGCCCTGACTGGTATCAGAAACTGAAACTCCCGCCTAGGCTAAGGCTAAGGGAATGCCCTTGGAACTGTAAGCCAGCAAGGGGACAAAAGCTTATCTCCCTGGCAGGAATGCTGCTTCTGCTGCTTTATTCATGACTGAACCCCCAAAAGCTTGGTCAGTTAGCCAAAGACGGGTAAGATTCCCCAAGGGGGGAACGACCTAAGACAGGCACGATCACTTTGGGAGGCCCCCCAAAAGAAGGACTTGGAGGGCTGCAGCAAAAGGGGGTGATGGACCCTCGCTCCTCGGCTTTGACATAGCCTGAGTTCCCAGCGTCTGGGAAAAAACCTCCTTGTCTCCCAGTTGCCTTAGTTCCCTTGCTCCACCTAAGCCTGAAACAATGACAGGGTGGTGCAGCTCTGTACTGAGAAGTGCGGATTCCCCGGGGTGATCAGACCTAAGAAAGAACAAGTAAATTACTGTGAAACCTTCTTTGTTTAGAATGCTCTCAGTTGAATGAGAAGGGTCTTAGGAGGAAGTTATTTTGTTCCTCAGTCTTACAGCTCTTTGACCCCGACTCAATAGACCGGCAGAGTTCTTTGTTTTCTATAGTTCCTTACTTCCCCCTAATGAGTACTGTACTTTACCTGAATTATTATGCAAAATGAGGCCAATAAAAGCAGGTATGGACGGTAAATCAGCGCGCTCCCCACTAGGGGGGGTGGCCATTTCGTCCCTACTTCCCCTACTAGAAACTAGTTTGTCTCTGTGCATGTGTGTTTTCTCTCACGTGTTTTCGTCGAGCCATCCACAGCGTTCCGTGGCCACTGCTGGCCGGTGACCCACGCGCAACAGAGATGGATAAGTAAACGTAAGTAAGTTGAGAATTTTTAACTGCATCTGGTTTTATAAATTTACATAATCCTAGAGTATTTATCTTGAAAAATCCATTTGGATTATGTAGTGTATACAGATACACACACAGAGTGCAGATAAGGAAAATGAAGTTCAGAAGAACTTGATCAGAACCACATAGACAGCAAATGGCAGAGCCTGAGTTAAAAGCAGCCAGGTTCACAGTACCTAAGGCAGCACCTATTCCACTGTTCAAGCTCTTTCATAGGTATGAGAAGAAATGGATGCTTTCTGAGACGATTGTGTCACCTAGGTCTGGTTCAAGCACCGAGGAAGGGTGATCACCCCAGTTTCATGTATTTACTGGAAACACCAATGTTTTAGAAAATGAAATTTAAACTGGGGCATCTTTAAATCTGTGTAATAAAAAAAAATTGCCAGAACACCTGGATCTAAAAACTGGTTACCTTATGTATTAGGTAGTTAATCCTGAGCACGTTAGTTTACTCTGTGCCTCAGCGCCCTCCTCTGTAAACAAGGGATAGTCAAATGACCAATCCCTTTTGGTTGTACTGAGGATTGAATTATTTAGCAGTATGTATTAATTGCTTCGAATGAGGTGAGATACATCATAGCATTATACATGTTGTTGATGTTATTACTGTTATTTAAAATATAATTTTATGCACTTGCTGGTGTGGTTCAGTGAACCAAAGGGTCACTGGCCAGCACTCAATTCCCAGTCAGGACACATGCCTGGGTTGCAGGTTAGGTCCCCAGTAGGGGGAAGTCAAGGGGCAACCACATACTGATGTTTTTCTCCCTCTCTTCCTCTCTCTCTAAACATAAATAAAATCTTTAAAAAATAAAATCTACTTTTCTTTCAAACCAACATTTTGGCAGGAATCAAAAAAAATACATGTGTGAGTATATGGTCACCCTGGTTTCACCATTTAATCCCACTTACTTCTATCTTTTTCATAGGGTTGATAGCACAGATAATTGTCAGAAAAAGAAAATCATGCCTGATTTCAAATTTTGCACTTACTACAAAAGTCATTTAAACAAATAGTTCTTTGTATATACTTATAAATGTCAAAATTGCAGCTCATGCAAATTATCTCCAAAATTTGGGAATACAGCTGAAAACACTACAGTTACTGTACAAGTGTTGGATTTAATGTCTGAAATGGATGGACTGATCCCTTGGATGGGATGAAAGGGAGAAGGTTCCAGGTCCAGGACAGTCGAAAGAGAGTAGAGATACAGGAGGGAATGACACACACCCAGAGAAGGGCAGACAGTGTTGCTGCTCACTTAGTTCTGATCTCTTTCAAAGGTGGGAGGGGATCAATACAGTTTAGGCCAATGTTACTGTGGAAATCATGATCCTAAAAATTAAGGGATCTGATTTCTCCTCTTACATATAAAGTGAAATTCCTTGGCTGGCATTCAAGGCCTTTCACAAGGATGTATTTATCTTCCCAGGGTTCATCTCTCTCTATTCCCCATCACACAAACACTAAACCAGCCACTTGGGACATCATATCAATATGGATCATATTATGATTCCTCATCTTGTCATGCATTTTCCCATCTGTTCTTCTTCATGGAGTGTTCTTCTCCTGAGCTCTTTTCCACCTGTCAAAGTCACAAGCATACTCCAAATGCTGCTATCTTTGTGAGCATTTCTTCAATGCCCTATGGAGTATTAGATACTTCTCTGAGCCTTTATTCTCTATGAAGACACTTTTTACATTGTTTTGTCATTTAGCTGATAACATACTGAGGGCTTTTCTTCATCCCTAACTTAACCTATTGCATGCCCTCAGTAAATGATTTCTGAATGGATGGATGGATGATTAATTGGATGGAAGAAAATAAGGGAGAAGATATTATTTCTTCTTTTAACATGTGTTATTAGAATATCCATGTCTACTTAAGCACTTTAAACACTGTGAGAAAAATTCTTACTGGGAGCAGGTGAGGAAAATTATATTAAACATTTGACATTAGAAATATAGAAAAATAATTTTCTGTCAATGCAATGTATAGGTGTGTTGTAAAGATCTATATGCTCTGTGAGCAAGAACTAGAAGTTGATATAAAAATAACATTTGATTCATTAGAATGAAGAGTATAGGTTTTTTTAATAAAAAATTTGGATATCATTACATTATCTATTTGTCCTTTCTTAATGGATAAGATCATTCTTCTCTCTGATTCATCAGCTCTGGGCATCATAACATGGACAGTGGCCATGCTCTAGGTAGTATAACACGTGGCAGGGTCAAATTTTATGTTTTCTATTGTGTAAATGTACCATAGTTTTTTGATCCATTCATTTACTTATGGGCACTTAGGTTGCTTCCAGAACTTGGCTATTGTAAATTGTTCTGCTAATGAAGGGGGACCTAATCAACAAAACAAATAAGCAGGCAAAATAACCAGAGTCATTAAAATCAAGAACAATCTGACAGTAACCAGAGAGGAGGTGGGAGGGGATGATGGAGGGGAAGTGGGGAAGGGATTTAAGGACCACTACAAAGGACACATGGAAAAAATCAAGGAGGGGCAGAATCAGGGGAGGGAGGTGGGGATGGCTGGGGTTGGGGGAATGGTGGGAGAAAATGCAGACAACTGTACTTGAACAATAATAAAATAAAAAAAGAAGGAAAAATAATTTAGTTACAGCAATGTCAAAAATTTATATTTTCTTAAAGGCTTTCTTTCAATAAAATGATATTTATATTAACATTTCAAAGGGAAAGAGTGTACATTTTATGAAACTAGAAGGCCATGTCTATTTTTATTTATAATAATCCAGTTGGAAGATTAGCATAATTGAAATAAGATAAAGGAAAATGTAGGAATGTAGATAACTGACCTGTGCTGGCATGGGAAATGTGTACTGTTCTGAGTTTCCAGGAGTATGCATGGCAGTGAGAGGAGTAGGCCAGGAATGTGTCATCTCCTGGTAAGGAAAAACATACCAACTTTATTTTAGGGAACATAGAAAATTAAACACCTTCTTGGCACTAAACACAGTAAGCCCTTTGTAAATGCTTACTGACTTAATTGGCTTAATTTTTTTCAGAGGAACTTAAAGTTATTAGGTCCATTCCCCTGCTCTATACTAGTGCCTAAAACCTATGTACAATACAAAGGTCCATCTAGCATCTGCTTGCACATTGCCACAGGCAGGGAGCTCATTACTCCTTGAAGCAACCTGGCCCATGTTGAGAGCACCTGACCAGATTATTCTTCCTGGTTGTGAGCTAAAGCTCTCCTTTAAACCTTCACAGAACACATCTCTTCTTTAGCATGACAAGATTTCAGCTGTCGAAAAACAGAAATTCTATCCCCTGATGTTGTCTTTTCTCTAGGCCAGGGATGTCAGACTCATTTTCACTGGGAACCACATCAGCCTTGTGGTTGCCTTCAAATGGCTGAATGTAATTTCAACTCCTTAACAGTTAAGGAGTAGTTACATTTATGCAGTCCTAAAATTATTTCAGCCCTTTGAAGGCAACCATGAGGCTGATGCGACCCCTGGTGAAAATGAGTTTGACACATCTGCCTAGGCTAAGACATCTGCAGCTTGTTTATTCACTTGTCGGGAATGTTCATCTTTTCTTCTATTGCTTGAGTACCGTGTAAGGCTAGTCTTATCCAAAGTTAGCCCCATCATTTAAAGATATAGGTCCTATTTCACCAGAGTCAGCCAAAGGGCAGTAAGCACCAGTCTGGTATAAGAGTGTTGTCTCTTTTCAGCAATTAGGGGGCACGCTTTAATCAATGAGAGGTTTAGTTTTATTTCTTTCCACCACTGGCTTTAGACGTGTGTCTCTGGTTTGATTAAAAGGTGTTTTTAATTACTAAGTAAACAAGGTCAATGTACAAGGTAGTCTCTAAAGGCATGCAATAGAGCTCTGTCACTTTTAGTCCTTCTTTGTTTACCTCTTAGTTGAAAAAAAATGTTCCAGAAACATCAACTCATTCAATCAATAACTTAAGAATATATAGAATGTCTGCTTATCATAAATGCAGGTGATACCAACCTATGAGTAATCAAAATTCAGAAAGAACTTGCAAAACTAGCCTGAAGCCAATAAGATGAATTTTAACAGAGGTATGTGAAAACTGTATTTATGTTCCACAAACCAAGAGTAAAATTGCATAATGAGAAAGACTACCTGCGTTAGCTGTAATTCATGGGCTGAAACACCCAAGGATTTTAGCTGACCCCCAAGTAATTTTTTTTGTGGGGGGCATTGGCAACCAAAAGAACCAAGGCCAACTCAGGTAATATTAAGGTAAGTGTGATACTCAGAATGTAGAAGTCAAGAGTTGATCATACAACAGTGTTTTGTATCGGACAGATCACATTTGAAACTGACATCTTGGATGCCTCATTTCAGCAGAGGCACTGGAATAATGAAATGCCTTAAAAGGGACAGCTGCTAGAACTATAAGAGCTTGGAAATCTCATCACACATATAGATCCTCTTTAAAAGAACAGAAAAATTTAGTCTGCAGATAAGGGAGACTGAGGGAAGGTCTGAGAGGTGCATTCAAATACTTGAAGGGCACTCATATGGAAGAGAACTGGGGAATGCTTTGTGGACAAGAGATTAGAACTAGCTCTCTGGAACCAATTTTAACTAAGAAACAATTTCCAATTATGTGAGCTTCCCAACCCTGGAGCCTACTGCTTTAGAAGGTAGCTAGTGGATGGCCCTTGCCTAGGGTACTGGAAAAGGGATTCCTAGAAGGCCAGGGGAGGGGAAGTTGTGGAGCAGTTTTACTGTCTTACATAATCATATGATCATGATATCTCAGATATCTGTATAAATGACATGGTATAAAAACCCTGGGAATGTTTCTTCAAATAAATAATTGACTGCTTTATTAAAAACTCTGCATGGCTGGCAGTTGTTTCATGGAATCTGCATATTTTCTCCATCAGTCTCAGGAAAGTGTATGAAAAAAGTCCAGCTCACACTGGCTGCCTTTATCCTGGCATCTCCCAAATCAAGGTTCCATTTTAAAAGAGCCTAATTCTAATTTACAATGGGGGAATATCATGGTCAGTGACTCTGTAGCTTTACTGTATGCTCAATCAATCAATCAACCAATCCATTTTCTTGCTATTGCCAGATGCAATCAATTACATTTCATCCACTGAATATAATGGGGATGTGTATGGCCATGTGCAAGGCCTAGCCATACAACTTCATCTGAACCAGTTACTCCTCAGGTGCTCTACACTCAGATGCTACAATGAAACATTCCAAAGGCAGCAACAGTGGGACAGGCCACACAGCAACATACTAGGAAAAATTCAACCAGACCCAGAGTTCTCCACACGTTTCAGCAGCACCATCCTGAGGCCACAGAGCCTCTAAGTAAGGGGTTTGACTCCCTGATGATTGCCTTGTTAATTCTAATCCTTATCAGGACAGTGCCTCAGTTAGTTGAACCAAACTGGCCACCCAAATAGCAAATCTTGTTAGACTAAAATTGATTTCTTTGGGAAAGGCAACATTACCTTAGGTTCAAGGGTAAGAAATATAAGAATATGCCATCAATAAATATTTTGTAAAGACTAGGAGCAAAAAGGAAACTTAGAAGACTTCTGTTCATTGGTCCACTTCAGGCATCAGAAGATTCTCAGGGTTTCTCAAAGGCCATTTCTTACTTTTCTAACCCGTGAACTTGTTTTATTATAAACTAATTTTGACACTATTTTCAAAAATGATTTTAACTTTGCTATTGAGTTTCTAGCTCTTCTGTTTCAAATTATTTTGACATGAACTATATCCAAATGACCATTGTTTAAAATACACCGACTTGAAACTATTCCCTGGGCTTTTATAATATTACAGCCACAGGTTTTTTAAAGCCACTTTATTAGATGGAATGACATGTTATATCATCATAGTGTGAGATATTTCTTTATGATTAATCTGAAATTTGCTTTTAACTCCAAGTCAGCTAAACCAGTTAAATAAAACATGCACACCTTAATTGGTTTCTCCCCCAGCATCATTCTTACTAATGTACATTTAATTTCACTCATTTAAAAACCATTTCTTGAGTTTCTACTCTCTGCAATACTATTAACAGCTGGTCAGCTGGAACAGGTCCAGGCACAGAGACTGCTACATTCTAGGTAGTTAGAGTGTTCACAATTGTAATGAGAGTAAGATAATTACAATTATTAGTTATCATTCAAAAGTAGAACTGAAATAAACTTTTCAGTGTGTTTATTAAGCAGCATGCAATTTGTTATCATGTGCCAGAAATTACCGAAGAGATTTGTTGATCTCACATTGCTTGACAGAAACACACTGTAGATGCAGCAACACAACAGTTTTATGCTATTATGCTATTCAGAAAGCCAGCTTATGTTATAAGTCAAAGCCACTAGAGAATGACAGCTCAAGAAAAAGAGAGGCAGATGGATACATTTCTTACAATCCTTAGTCTAAACCTTTTCAAAGACTTACATAAGGTGTTAGTATTCCATTTATAAGGGCTGATGTAGCTTTTCAAATATGATACCTTTCTTGTGGTTTACACTTATTGCATTAAGAAAAATGGTAATAAGGAGATCATGGTGACTGCTTTTAAAAGGAACAAACACTCAATTTCTGAGGAAAAAATAATATTTATTTTCATGGAGAGGCCTCCAGTGAACAACTGGACTGTAGCTTTGATCTCTCATTATTTCTGAGCTCAGTAAAAATAAGGCAGCAGGCCACTAATATAGATGAAAGTCCAGCCTATTTGATTTACATGGAGTTGTCTTTCCTATGAAACTACCATTTTAATCTTAGAATTATAGAATCACAGAGTGAGGGGGATGAAACAGAGCTGGTTTGTTCAATACACATGAAATTAACTAACAAATGTATCACAAGATATCAGTATAATTGTTACAGGGTGCAGCCAAGAGGGGGCCCCAAATAGGGATTTGGAATGGAGTCCAGAACTCAGGGTGTCCAGTAAATATTAGGATGTCCTCATCCCTTCCCCCTAGAGGTGTGAGTTGGGGGAAGGGACACATGGAGCAGGAACAGACAGGACTGTTTTGCATAGCAACAGCTTTGCAGCTAACCTCTGGCATGGTCATTTAATATATCTGTAACCTTTAACTGGTTGCATAGATATGTTAAATAGCTGTGGCCATGCTTGGAGCCAGGGAGAAGTGAATGACTTCCACCCAAGATGTAACTGGGGGGCAAGTCCCCCTGATCACAGCACCTGCATGAGAGCTTGGAGATGATTGGCTCCACACCATGGGGCCACACCTGCCCAGACTCACTATGGCAGCCCAGGAAAGCTGGAAGGATATGGGAGTGCTGGCAAGTGTAGCCAATTGTAGGAGGAGTTGGAAATGGGGCTGCAGAGGAAAATTGGTGAGGAGATTCAAAACTCAGACTCATTTTTCTTGTTTCTTTCAAGCAAAATATAGTCAAAGACACTGAAATAGAGGACAGGCTGACAGTGACCAGAGGGGAGAGGGGAGGAAATAAACTGGGGGGGGGGGGTTGGAAATGGGAGGGAAGCGGGGAGGGATGGGTGGGTGGGATGGAATGGGAGTAAAGGACAGAAAAATGTACTTGAACAATGATTAAAATAAAATTAAAAAAAGAACAAAAAACAAAAAACTCCCCTCCCCCCCAAAAAACACAAATGCTCATTCAATGACTTAAGTGGTCTTACCTAATTCTACTACTATATTTTTATAAGAACTTGGTTGTTTCTTTGAATTGACAGATGTTTCTGGATGTATATTCATGGCCTTATATAGAAACCTATGGGACATATATGTGGTTCACTGATTTGGCATTTGAGAGAAAGAAAAAAATTATCTTTATGTTTATTTTTCCATGAGACAGAGTAACTTAAGTCTTTTTTTAAAAAAGATTTTATTTTATTTCTTTTTTTTTAGAGAGGAAAGGGAGG